GAGCGATGTCTTTTATGCTCAACGCTGTTTATCGGTCCATATTGGCCCAACTAGGACATGGTTGCAGGACGGACTTGAATGGAGAAAGGATCCAATTTGTGATCGTTATCATACTAAGATGATCAACCTGTATGGGCTTTATTTTGCATGCTCAACGACTGATAAGAATTCCCAGCTATCATCTGAGCGGAACCACCCACGGGAAGCCCATTAACAGCAGGAAACGTCTGGTGCTGCGCAGCCTCATTCCGCTGCAAGCCACAGTCAATACGCCAGGGTCTGCAGAAAACAAGGCGCAGTGTTGCTGACAGCTGCACCACGTATTGTCAGCAAGAGTTATGATGTGGCTCATAGAGATAAGTCTCTGCGACCGGCCTCCAGCCTTGGACCTTGAATCCCCATCTCTTTTCCGTACTGTTCCGCTGCAAGTCGCTCGTAAAACGAAATCTTTGCGCAAATTACTCTAGGACGACACACAACCGTCAAATTGACACACTCCTACCTGATCCAAAATCGACACTTGGGAGACTCTACCACACTTCAAAGCATCACCTGTTTCTGGAAAGCTGTCATGAATACCCCTGATGACCTTGAGAAGGGGCAACAGCCGGCGAGAACCGACGAAGACGAGTCACTTTCGAACCACGATCTCGACGATACGGTGTCCGAAGACGTCGACCAGGCTTCTGGTTGTGGACTCGATTTACAGATTCCGCAACAAGACAGCACGGCAGTCTATGTATTCGACTTCATCGAAGCTCAGGACGGGAGTTTCGAGTCGCACAGAACGATATACACGCCCGTGGAGAAATTCGAACACAGTGTTGCGACACACGAGTCACAATATGCACGGAAGGAAGATTCTTACCAAGTTCTTCTGCTCATTGATTGCGGTGGAGGGGGGTTCGATACACACCCAGACCGCATGCCCATTCTCCTTTCCTACCTCGCGCTTCGAGGAGCTCCTGAACCAGTCACACAATTCGCCCAATCTCTCGTCAGTAATGACCAAGAAGAAGAGGCCATGTCGATAAACGTGAATGACGGCTCTGGGAGCCGCGGCCTGTACCTGGCTTGGAACCGAATCACTTTCTCTCCGATTCCGCTAGCTGCCGGTGTGGACATCGATGGATTCAAAGAAACATTCAAAACGCCACTAAGAGTGACCGCACCACCTTCCCTCAACTTTACGTGGGCTAGGAAAGAACGCGTTTGTTATCTTAAACTGCCTGAAACCACTGTGTTTGTCCTCTCAGTAAATTCATCAGCCTACTCCTACCTGGTCGCCACTCTTCGAGGCGGCATTTTCCAGCCAGCCAGGGGTTTATTTGTCGCCGAATTCTTACAGGCCATCCTCTGTCAAATCATTCCGTTCGATGAGGGCCAGATTCTCGACACCTTGGAGCGCGGCCTCCAAGAAATCGACAAGGAAATGATTTTCAGCAAAGTTCTGAAGCAGATGATGGAGGGCTGGCAGTGGATCATGGGACATGGGCGGGCGTACATACACTCCCGACGCCACTTCTACCATCAAGTTGCTCGAGCTTTGGAGGATATAAAATATCCGCGTGAACTCATCGAGCAGATTCTTGAAGAATCACAACGCAACAATTTCAAGCTCGAATCTATTCAGCGCCACCTTGATTCAACTTTCTCTGCTCTCATTGGTACGATGAGCATCAAGGAAAGTAGTAAAGTCATTAGGGAAGCTGAGCACGTTACTCAACTTACACAACTTGCGTTTTTCTTTATTCCCCTGACATTTGTTGCGGGCGTTTTCGGCATGAATTTCAAAGTAAGCGTAAACATATGTTAAGCTGGATGTAATGCTCACTTCTCCAGGAATTGACGAGCGCAAGTCTCTGGAGCTGGGCTGTCACCTCGGCCTTACTGCTCCTGGCTACATACTTTGTCTTGTATTTGAATGAAGTACGAAACTTCATCATGGGTCCGCACTGCGTCATGCTACGGTATCGATTGTGGTGCATTCGAATTTGGGTGTTGTGGAAGATTGCGATGCTCAAAATCCGTCTAGGTATGGTATCAAGTACTGCGGACATAAGGGTTATTTGGTAAGATTCACTGTTTGATCTTGTCATCGAGTCGAGAGAGCTGAACCTACACGCAGAAGACGTTCTGTCGTTAGCTATGGGATGAAAAGCTGGACAGCTCCGTCTGCGGATGGACTCTGGGCTTGGGTGAGAATTGAAACATGACTGGAGGGTTCTCAGTGCGCTGCATACGCCGGTAGTCTGAACTCCATCCAAATTTCCATGCGGCTGCAGCCGTTTTGTCGTCAGAAGGATCAGAGCAGTCGGCAGGGCCCACAGGCCTGATCTCGGCGTTTCAACTGTACGAGCGAGCAATCTCTCGTATCTCGCTCGCTAAGCGAGCAACTCACTTCAACACCACGCGCAGCGTCTCGCGCAAAAAACAGAACAACCGCCATCGATGCATCCGGTAGAGGCTGAAGATGAGGAAGAAGAGATCGGATCGCGGACAAGAGCCACAAAAGCGGGAGAACTGGATCCGCCCAACAACCAGCGTGGGGCCCCGCACGCGCGGCCCCCATGAGTACCACACCACGTTCACGGACCAGGTTACTGCGCGCGCGCTCGCTTGGGCCCTCAGCTCGCCAACAAAATTTCTCCGTCGAATCATCTATCCACCTACCTGTTCCAGAATAGCTTGTTTGAGGCAAGATCAGTCAAGCATGTCCGCTCCACCATTCCGCCAGGCCAGAAACGGCAGCCAAGCCCTCTACCCGGTCACTTCATACAGCGCCAAGTCGGTTGGGGGCCATGAACGTGTTGGATGTTTGCCTGATCTCTTTCGAGGACGCTGTTCCTTGTGGAGGCCGCACCTTGGCGGAGGGAGTGGAAAAAGAAAGGGGCGTTGTGGAGACGGTAGTGGAGGGTGAATGCAGGCCGCCGCGGCGATGCCTTGTAGGCGAGTAAGTAGGACAATGGCTGTATAAACTGGACTTCAGCTCTCCTAGTTCCTGCTTCAGCAAGTTCGGCGTTTATCAGTCACTCATTCCCAGGTTTCGATCCACTGTGCTTCAGCCGCAGTTTCACGCTTTTCCCACTCCTTCTATACTGTTCGGCCAGTGGGCGCTCAAACAGAAACATGAAGTCTCCAATTGCACTCTCCCTCTCCCTCCTTCCCTTCTTGACCACCCCTGTCCTCTCCGCACAGCCCTACTCATCATGGATGGCCTCTTCCTTCTTGGCCAAGGGCGTGGAGAAGGACTTGGGCTATGAGCAAGCAGTGTTGTACCGCGCCCTTGACAAGGTACACACAGCAACTGGCAATGCCAGCTACTCGTCGTTCATTGATTCCCAGCTCGAGGGACTGGTCAATGACGACGGGTCGATTGCGGACTGGCCTCCGGAGAAGAAGTCGTTGGACGACTTTCGCATGGGAAACATCTACCTGCTCCTCTGGGAAAAGACTGGTGAAGAGAAGTGGAAAGTTGCGGCCGACACGTTGAGGGATAGGTTGAACGTTCAACCAAGAAACGAAGAGGGAGGCTTTTGGCACCGTGATCCGGACTACCCGAATCAGATGGTGCGTATTCTTCCTTTTGGTTCCTTGACCTGTCTTGTTTGCTCCTTTCCACAAAGAAATGACTTGGGCGAAACTTCTTTTGCTTTCAAGAGTTTGACTTGGACTGGACTTACCTGGAAACCCACTCTGACAAACTGCAGTGGCTCGATGGCATTTACATGGCCCTTCCGCTCTACGTGCACCACACGCGCCTCTTTGCGCCGACCAACGCCACTGCATTCTTGGATGTCCACAAGCAGTTCACTCTGATCCACGAGCACGTCTACAACGAGACCACGCGCCTCTTGTACCACGGCTACGACGGCTCCGAGCCTGCTTCGTCCCGGCGCAATTGGAGCGACCCCGAAACCGGCGCAAGCCCGTACGTCTGGAGCCGCGCGCTGGGCTGGTGGACCATGGCGGCCGTCGACATTCTCGAAGAGCTCGACGCGCTGCTGGCCAACTCGTCGGCCACCGGCGACATGCAGCATGTCAAGACCAACGCTGCGGATCTCAAGGCCCAATTCCAAGACGTCATGAGCGGCGTCATCGACGTGCAGCGCGTCGGAAACACGTCCGACACTGCCAATGGCTGGTTGCTTCTGCTCGACCCTGAGCTCGCTGAGCGCGAGGGCAACTACATTGAGAGCAGCGGCTCTGCCATGTTTGTCTACTCTCTGCTCAAGGGACTCCGCTTGAAGTACTTTACTGGCGACCTGGCGCAGCGCGCAAAGACCGCGGGTACGACGGGCTACCAGGGATTGGTGCAGAACTTTGTCAAGGCGAACGCGACTGGTGGGTACCTGAACTGGGAGGGAACTGTCGAAGTGGGCAGCTTGAAGGGCGATGCAAGCTACGAGTACTACACCACTGTGCCGGTTGTCGAGAATGACTTGAAGGGAGCCGGTCCCTTCATTCTGGCCAGTTTGGAGTACGAAGCTTTGTAAAGTGCAGATGCCGTCGATGTAAATATCTTCCATTCAAATGCACATGTTCTTAAGGAGAACGGGCTCAGAGTTGGACGCGCAGTCTTCGATTTATTGTCGGTCCGAAAACATTTTGTGCACGTAAGCGTGTTGAGCAAAGGCAATTTCGGACTCAGTCGAAGTGTCCATCTCTCGTTCAACGAGCATGCGTTTGCCGTGTCTTTCCGAGGGCATCAGTCCGTTCGAGAACTGGGAATATTGGTGTGACAGATGGAGCCATGGACCCGAACAAATTTCAGGGCGAAGAGCAAAAGAGACGGTCCGCTTTGAAAAGACTCGGACATGTTGGACTGGAAATGCGAGCGAGAACAAAGCTGAGGAGCGTGGCTGAGCTGCCGAACGAGTGGCGAAGATGTAACAGACGCAAACCGGTATGGGCCAACGTTTGCACATTTTCGCTTCGTTGACATGTTCAGATGCTCGCTTGATGCGCTGGAAGGGCAAAACAAAAAGCAAAAAAGATGTTGACTGCTGTGAGACTCGAACTCACGAAGGTTGCCCAACTAGTAATTGGATTCCTTAATTCGGAACTCTGTTCAGGTGTCCTGAAACTAGCGCCATAACCACTCGGCCAAGCAGCCCAGGTCAGCTTGCTCCATTCAGAGTTAACTGCTGTTGAAAATTGGGCTCGCCTGTATACAATATATACTACTACTTTTGAGCTCACATTGTTCAATGTGGCGCGCGAGCTCACGGCCGTTCTTTCGAAGGAGCTTGTTTATGCTCGAGCTATGTAAGGACAGCTTTTCTGATCAATGGTGGTTGTATGCGTGATGGAATGCGAAGTTGGGGCTGGTGCGAATTTTGGATGGAACCAGGAACTCACCCACCAGCTGCGTCACTGCACCGACCTCCAGCCTCAATCTCAGCAGATTCGTACAAATTTTGAGGCGACAGAGAAAGGCAGGCTAAATCAAGTCTATTTCCAGGTGTGCAGTGACCGGAACAAAAGTTGTGGCTTTCCTAACTTTTGATATGATGGTCGCGTGGCTTCGGCTCGTCCCGCAGGGCGCTTTCCTTTTCCATCACCCCGCCGAACGACGTCAACCCGTCGCCTTCTGACGACACGTTTTCATCAACTCTTCTACAATTCTGTCGCCAAACCGCTCTGAGCGTTGATTCTTTTACCTTCTCAGCAATGGATTTTCCTTCGAGAGGCGGGACCGCTGCTTTGTCGCATGACGCGTTCGGAGAGCCGGTCTGGTAGGTACTCGCCAGCAGTCGGCGTTGACATCTTCCGTCTAACGAATCTTCTACAAAACGCTGACGTTGTTGCGCCAGATTCTATTCCCTAGGCGAAAAACTAGGAACCCACGGCTCAGGAAGCACGCGGACCCGTCGGATTGCCTCATTCAACTGCAGCGCAAACCAGCTCGGGCGGCGATCCGGGCGAACACGAAAACCTCCGATGGCCCCGGTCTGCTTGGATAAAGGACTACGGCTTGATCGGTAGCGAGCGGTCCTGCCTCTGGTCGCCAGTGACACACAAAAATTGGTGGAGGAATCGGAAATTTTGAGTGTACCTGCGATGTCCAGTCTCTCGGATTTGGCAGACGAAAGGCTCTCTTCGGTAGACCATGGGCTTGCCTTGAGTCGCCCACAAGATCGTTGCTGCCATCCTCTGGTTTCAGGCGCTGGACATGCCCCCGGCTTTTGGCACGAACCTCCGTTGATGAGGCAGAACTGGCTGGATCCACATCTCCAGGCCGTCCAGGAAACATGTCCAGTCTCATCACAGGCAGCTTCCACGGAATCCGGGATGGACGACCGATGCATGCTCGCCGCGAGGGCCGAGTACGAAGAGCCTTTTGAATTCATCGCGCTTTCGTGAGTCAGGAAGACGATCATGCATTTCTCTGGCAAGATTTCCCCGTCCCAACGCGTCAGAGAATGACCACCAAGGCATTTGTCGCGTTCCTCTCTAAACACTGGATGTGGGAGCTCATAATCGTCGCAGCTTCTGCTCTGATACCAGACACAGTAATCACGCCAAAGGAGATACCTCCAAAATCCTCGAAAGCGAGTGCGAAAGCGACATTCGTGAGCTTACCTGGTTTCCTTCCCCTTCTTCCCCCGCATGCGAAAAATCTTTCCCGGAAAAATTCTTCGAGACGATTCTGCATCATACCCTTGAGGTTCCATCCGCAGGCGTTGTCCGAGCTTATCCGACTGCAACTCTAAACCTCAAAACTGCTCCGGCGGTCCGCTTGGATGTAGCAAAGATTCCCCGGCACTTCGAACGAAGACCAAGGCACAGTTCAAGCAGTGAGTAACAGAAACGACTGGCCAAGACGGAAGAATTTTGGCCATGATCAATTTTTAGCCAAAGCCATCGCTTACTGGGGCAATTATGCTCTTGTCCGAAAAGCATGTACAAGACAAGGTATTTGTGCTCATGCTCGGCACTAGCTTGGGCCATTCATGTCACCCCATTACACTTTGACGGTGAGTAAACAATCAAGGCTACGGGATTTTTGCTTGAGGACGCGTTAACACCTTACAGTACTAACTTTGTCGACTTGGGTCTTAACGGCACGTCGTGAAGCGGGGAAAGCGATTAGAGGGGTTGGCTAGAGGATCAATCGATGGCGGCTTGAAAATGGTGAAGAACAGGAGGAGACAACGCTCTCTATACTTGGCGGTTACCGGAAGAGACCGACAATTCATCCAAGCCATTTTATTTGACGTGGCTCGCCTAAGTCTCGTCCTCCATCTGCGATGATGAAGAGCACCGGAACGAAAGGAAAATACCAAGATCTTCGATAAACACGGGTGGCTCGCACCCTGTTATCCCGCGGCTTGACAACGACCTAAAAGCCACTCCCGGAAACACGAATTATGTGGATCAATCGCATGGATATTTTGGATGGCTCCAGCCAATTGTCAAAGCGACATGCTATTCAGTCGACTAAGCCAGCCCCAAAGCCCATTGCTAAAAGAAGGCAAATTGAGGCCCGCAAATTCAAACAAGGTTAATCGATGTTAGCCGGCCCGCGGGGAAAGGACTCTTGTCACCAAAACAAGTCAACAACCCCAACTCGAGGGTCGCGGCACAACAATCCGACAGCCGAGAACGCGCATCTGCATGCTTCCACGCAACCCTATGAACTAAAACACGGACTCTGTTTGCTTGCCTTCGCGTGGACCCGGCGCTCTCAACTACCAGACCTGCTCGCCGGCCGCGAAAGGATACTTCTGGATCTAAACTTAGTTGTCGTTACCACTGCCTGATCTGCTTCAGCGCAGGCGGAAACACCTCCGCAATAAGAATCGTCAAAGGAAGAGGCCAACGCAAAGTCGCCCAAGGCTTCCAGATCCGGTGCAAGACCCCTCTTTCTCACGTGTCCGTTGTAACATACGTCAGGCTGAGTACGAGGAAGCTTCGTCAGTGGCACACGCCCGTTGCCTTAAAGCTTCCAGAACACGAGCAGCTCACCTTGGTTGTACGCCACAGCGTAGTATACTTGGAACTTGCGCTGCATCCGGGCCTGATGGCCAAGTACACAGCTGCCTGCAGTGCTCTTGAAACCGAGCCGACCTCGCATTTTCCCGGCCCGCTTGGGAGGAGACAGAGTATTGATTCTTTGTCGGGGTTTGATCTTCGACCATGACACGCCAGAGCCAGAGAATATCTTTGGAACTGCGAGCGATTCAACGAATGGCACGGCCCGTGAGGTTGGGACGGACCGCTCGGAGCAGACTGGGATTCGCAGCGGGCTTCCGCACCGAAGAGGCTAAACTCCGCTCAGCCCTGCATCAACACCTCGTTCTTTCTCGAAATGGTATCGTCCAGATTGAACTGAGACACAAGCAATATCTATGGGCTCTAGTTTTTATGCCTTTTGACGCCTTTTGACGCCTCTTCCGATCATCAACTAACCACAATTGGTAAAAGAGCTGTAAGCGTAAGTTACTCGTACTCTGTGGCTGTCCACTTCGCGTGGTGGCTCTTTGGATTTCTCAGGCGTATTACCGGCTGGACAAAGCATACAGCTTCGGGAGGCCCGAGCTGTATTGACAACTACCTTGGCGAATTTCACTCCTCACCAGAATTCCATCAAGGTTATGCGGCGAGGCGTGGGCGGGGCAGTGTCATTCATACACGGCCGCGCGGCCCGTTCGTACACAAGGCGACGCACCCACTCGGAGCAATCGGTTCCTTGAACCTGTCAATATTTGTCTACCAGCGTAGTCAGCTGTCCCAATCTGGATGTTTCAGTTACATAACCTCCTCGGTACTTTCACGAAGGACATCCGCGACAGCCGTTACATCGTCGCGCCGTACTTGTGCGACAAGAAAAACAATGGAATAACACGGAGAATTTTAAGCGACGGCATATGGGCATCAACTTCCTTCTCCACATCTTCGCCGTGGTGATGGTGCCAAATTCTGAACTCTATCGACTCAAAATGCCTTTGGCAAGCGAGCGTTTGTGCCTAAAGATATGCTTTTTTACTTACCCAGGGTTTCGACGACAACGCTCGACTAAATATAGTCAATGACTCGAGTCATCCGGGCTCGACGGCTGCTAACCACAACAATGCGGACTTCTTCTGAAGAGTTGCTGGACTATATAATGGGGCGCATTCGCGACATCCTCCACACCATCATCAACACATCCTCCCCGCTCAGCCAGTACCAACAATCCACTCTCCCTACAACTCAAACAATATTCAACACCTTCTCCACACATCAGCAGTCCAACACCTCATCAAATCAACCATCATGTACGGACTCGGATTCCTCGCTGTCGTCCTCCTTCCCCTCCTCACCAGCGCCGCCCCCGCTCCAACGGGGGATGGCGAGACGACATACTGCGGCACCATCACCACGAAAGCGGACTACCCGGACAAGAACCCGAACGAATACTTCAAGGTGTCTTGTTACGAACGCGGAGGAGCATTCCACGAGACGGAGCAAGACTACGTCAACCGCGTGTGGCGCGCCGAGTGTCACAACGCCTTCCTCAACGTGCCGGAATCACTCAGCGAAACGCCCCTGGGCGTCATCAACATCGACTACAAGGAGGGCGCCGATGCTTGCGAGTAAAAATGGCGGCGATGATCTAGCTGTGAGTACCTCTTAATGATTCCAACATGGTACGGCGCTGATTTGAAATCTAGCTCGACGGTGTCGTTCTTTCAAGCCTCTCATTTAGCATTTGATCGCACGGTGATGGGCTCAGGGTGGAGTTATGAATGGGATGACCGGTGTAGACGGAGTGCATACCTCAGTGTTGGATACTGCATGGCCACTGTCCTTAATGCATATAATGCGATTATGTCCTTGTGCTTCCTCAAACTCCTCTCCCTCAAATTTTAATGTGACATGTCTACCATTTGAACTCGGGCTGTGGTACATGAACCAACCCTGGATATAAGCAAACTTTCCAAGAGACAACTCCACGTACGACCATAGCACGTAGAGAATTCGGAACCCCGTCCGCTCTTCCATAGACAAGCTACGTTGCGGCCGATTAGTAGTTGCGTGGGTGACCAGCAGCGAATCCCGGCTGTTGTACGTTTTGCATTTCGTTTTGGTGTTGTGGGGTGTGGTGGGTCTGCTCGGGACGATCACGTC